GTGGGTTTTAAAAAATATATGAATGACAACACTGAAGCAGAATTTTAAGGTTTGAAAAGCACTTTGCAAATATTTCATTTCATCCTTAAAAACAGCCCTGTGGTAGACATTATTATTATTATTTTATAGATAATCTTCTATTTGAGCAAAGGTTTTACAAATATTATCTCATTTGATCCTCACAACAATGCTGGGAAATAGGTGCCATTCTACAGATGAGGAAACTGAGGCAGATGGCAGCTAAGTGACTTAACCTCTGTTTGCCCATCTGTAAAATGGAAGTAATAATAGCACCTACCCTCCCAGGGTTATCGTGAGGATCAAATGAGATAATATTTATAAAGCCCTTTGCAAACCTCATATTGCTATGTGAATGCTAGCCATTATTTATTATTATGATGATGATGATGCATTTGGAGTGGGGTTGGATGACATCTATTCTTTCATTTTTATGCGACAAGGTCAGGGTGGTTGTGGGCAGTGATTCTCTCTATATCCCACTTCCACAATGGTTTATTTGGGGAATTGTCAAGGATACTTTTCTATTTGTCATCTTGCATTCATCGGGTAACGTTGACAAACGTGTGTTTGTATTTGTCAGACATTTGTCATGTTAGCTGATGAAGGATGGTGAGTTTCTGGTGAGTGACTCTAGCCGCTTAAGTGGGTCTTTCTAGGAGGGAGAGCATTACGCTAAAATACTCGACGATCCACTCTTTGCCAACTACTATGACACATTAAAGAGCACCCACATCATTCTACCACGTAACCTGCATTAAGAAGGACGTGCTCCTTAGGGACAACTGTCCTTAATCTCTGCTGGCAATGACCTAATCCTGAATCATTCTCATAAGCCCTTCCATTTCTTTCCACAAATCCACCTGACTCATCCATCTGGGGCAAGCCATATTTCTGGTGGAGTTCCAATGGTTGTTGCCCATGGAGGGTCTTTTGATTCCACACTGGGACCTCAGAGTCTCATGGGCTCTGGGCAGGTAGAAGGCATTTCAGCTTCCATTCAGCAATTCCAGGAACAGACACCTATAGGCAGCCTTTATTGCCATCTGAAGTGAGGTCTGTTTGCTCCAAAAACATTTCCAGGGAGTTTTCACTTGTCATCATGTGCTCCAACAAATCGTCCTTCTTTCTAATGAGGAGCTGTTCACCTTTCTAGAGGAACGAGCCCTGTTTGTTGTTACTGTTGTTGTTTTGGTTTTGTTTTTATTCTGAGGCAATCAGGATTACTTGCCCAGGTCACACAGCTCATAAGTGTCAAATGTCTGAGACCGGATTTGAACTCAAGTCCTCCTGACTCCACGGCTGGTGCTCTATCCTCTGTGCCACCTAACTGCCCCCATTTTTCACTGATATTGTATAAATTTTGTGGAAACTGCTTCTGACAGGGCAAATCAGCACCTTCTCCACAACTCACAGTCTCAGAGAGCTGTCTAGAGCACTGAGGAGTTAAGTGACTCATCCAGGGTCACACAACCAGGATGTGCCTGAGGCAGGACTTGAACCCAAGTCTTCCTCTAAATAGTAATAATAGTATTAACAATAACAATAATAATAGTTAATATTTACATAGCGTTTACTATGTTCCAGACATTGCTAAGCGCTTTACAGCTATCTCATTTCTTTTATGATACTTTAACTTTATGCATTTTACAAACAAGACTTCCAAGGGGGTGGCTGGTGTCCATCACACACAAAAATATTAAGGATCTGCGCCTTGGGTGCATATGAAATATATACAGAATAGAGGAAGGAAAGCTGAAAGGGGAAGACATGAGCAGCTAGAAGAATCCAGAAAAGCCCCCTTGTAGAAGGTGGGATTTGAGCTGAATTCTTGAAGGAAGGAAACCAGGGAAACTAAGAGGTGGTGATTAGGGAACAGAGCATTCCAGACATGGGGGACAGCCGTTGCGATGACAGATGGAGTGTGGGGTTCCAAGGGACCCCCACTCAAATATGCATCTACACTGCAAGTAGGTCATTGCAGGAGTGTATTCAAGTGCGTGGAGGGAATTGAGGTGTAAGAAGCCTTTTAGAACTTACTGAACCAGGTACAAACAAGACCCCATGGGTATGACGCCAGTAAAGCGCCATTGATGCAGAGGGAATGTAGAAGGAAAGAGTGGCCAGGGTGGGATCAATCAAGGAAGGTTTCCTGGAGGTTAGGAACTCCTACCTGGGATATTGACATATTGTCTCCTCCATTAGAATGTTGAGAACAGGGTTTGTGGCTGTATTTATTTGGGGGGTTTTGGCAATGCTTGGCACACTGTAAGCACTTAATAAATGCTTGTTAACTCATGGATTGTCTTATAGTTTGTGTTCATGTTTGTGTGTAGTATATGTTCCAACTTCCCAACCAGGCTATGAGCTCCTTGGGATAGGAACTGAGCATTTTATTTCCAGGACAACTTCTTGTCCCCCACGCAGACCCACAAACCTTTACAGCATCCCACACTGCCAACAAACGAGGCCACTGACATACTCAGTGGGCTCTCCTCTTCATCCAGGTTGACTTCTCAGTCTCTTTCATGTCCTAGATCACTACAGCCAGAAAGCCATCACCCTGTCCCAGAAACACGGGCATCCCATGGTACTCCTGTTGGGGCAGGCATTGCTGGGGTCAAAGAACATCATGGGGGAGTTAGAACGACATAGCCCCTAACCTTCTAGAACCAATCCACTCCTGACAGGCTTATCCCCAGACTAAGTGACTGCCTTCCAAGAAGGTAAGGACCAGTCTCTGCCAGGGGTCCTCCAGCTGCCCTTATAACCAAATACATCAGTCAGCAACCAGGCACTTTTAAGAACCTGCTATGGGCCAGACACTACACCAAGGCACTAGAGCTACAAAGACAAATGGCACTGTTCCTGCCCTCAAGGAGCTTATATTCCCTTGGCAGAAAACAACATGCACCTATATAAATGCACACACAATACATCCAAGGTAATTTTGCAAAGGAGGCACTAGCCTCTGGAGAGAATCAGGATGGGTCTCATAGAGGGTGGCCCTCGGTCAGAAGGCAGGGGTTCTGTAAAGCAGAGGTAAGGAGAGGGAACATTGCAGAAAGGGGACAAACATAGCCTATGGGCCATGCTTGCCACACCTAGGTTCCATAATTCCATGGCTGGGTTTGTTGGACTTGAACCCTCCAAATCTATACCTGCCCTACTAGGCACAGGAGGAATTACATGGGAAAGAGATCCTTGACTCACGACAGTAGCAGGGACTTGGTTACTGGAATGGGATAACCAGGAAGTCCGTATGCTATATTCAAACCCCAAAGCTAGCAGTCAGGCAGTCAACAAGGATTTATTAAGAACTGGCAATGCAGCAGGCACTATGCTAAGGCTCTAGGGGTTCAAAGATAAAAGCAAAAAGAGTCCCTGCCCTCAAGGAGCTTACATTCTCTAATAAGAGAATAGGAATTTCATTGGTGCAAACCGACCAAGCCAAGGTCCATGAAAAGCAGAGACCTGGCTGAAGGAGCACCATGCAGAGCACAGGATTTGGAGTCAGAGGGCCTGGGTTCAAAATCTGTCTCTGTCACTTAACCATCAGTGTGACCTTAGGAAGTCACAACCACTCAGGACCTCATTTTCCTCTCTCATAAATTGAAGAGTTTATAGTAGATAACCTCTAATATCTCTTCCAGTTCTTTGACTCAGTGATTTTATAACTGTTCAATATGAGCCTCCAGAACACAGAATAAAATGGGAAGAGGTGGCTAGAGACAAACCACCCAGCTCAGAAACATATCTCCGGGCTGAGCTCAAGTCATCTCTCACCTGAGGCTGCTGAGCTCAGCCGTCTGCCACCTGGGAACCTGGGGAGCCCCTCTTGGGCTGAACCAAAACCCTTCTCCAATGAGGCTGGCACTCACTTCTCTGCCTAAACAACTCACCGCTGTCTCTGTCTCCTCCCTCTATCTCTCTCCCCTCACCTCCCTCTCTCTATGTCTCTCTCTATCTCTCTCTCTCTCTCTCTCTCTCTCACACACACACACACACACACACACACACACACACACACACACTCTCTCTCTCTCTCTCTCTCTCTCTCTCTCTCTCTCTCTCTCTCTCTCTCTCTCTCGGCAAAGGTTGTTCTCTGGCTGCCTGGATCTGTCTATCCACATATCCCTTGGCTCTGTTCTTCTGATACCATTGTCCAATGCATCTCTCTCTGTTTCCTCTCTGTCTGTCTGTCTGTCTGTCTCTCTCTCTCTCTCCTCTCTCTCTTTCTCTCTCTCTCTCTGACTCTCTCATGTGCTCTCCTCTCTCTGAGAGTCTCTCTCTTCTCCTTTCTCTTCTCTCTCTCTCCTCCCCCTCTGCCTTCTCTCTCTCTCTCTCTCTCTCTCTCTCTCTCTCTCTCTCTCTCTCTCTCTCTCTCTCTCTCTCTCTTTCTCTCTATGTCTCTATCCCCTCCACACTTAATCAACAAGCATTTATTAAGTGCCTACTATGTACCAGGCACTGTACTAAACAATGAGGATGTAATGAAAAATCCAAAATAGTACCTGTCCTCAAAAAGCTTATATTCTAATGGGGGAGAAAGCATGAATATAATAATAGCTAACACTTATATAGTGATTCAAGGGTTGCAAAGTGCTTTACACATATTATTTCATTTGATTCTCACAACCCAGGGAGATAGGTGACACTATTACCAAACTGAGGGTGAGTGACGGTAAGTGGCTTCCCCAAAGTCTCACACTTAATAAGTGTCTGTGGCAGGATTTGCATTCAGGTCTTCCTGACCCTATGCACTACTCTATCCACAGGATGGCCTAGCTGCCTGTTTCTGTAAGTACATCTATCCAGGCTACACCCCACAGGGGCCAGCCCTTACCCCAAAGAAGGTAGTCAGGTTCTGGGGAAGTGGGAGAGGGTGTTACCCATCTTGCATACATCAGTGCTGAACAACCATGCACTGACCATGTAACATGTGTCCTACAGACCAAGCAGTTAAGCTCAGGAGGCCGTACCTTCTTACAGTCCTGGCAGAAGACCGAGGCGCTGCCTAGGAGGCCCAGGGGCTCCCCACACAGAAAGCACTGGGAGAGACCGTTCCCCATCACATTCTTCCTCATGTTCTCTAGCCGCTCGACCAGCTTCCTGCAGCACAAGGGAGGTTAAAGAAACAGGAGGGATGGGATCTCTGCAAAAGCCCACCCCCCAATGCCACCTCCCAGCTGCTGAGGGAACACAGGTCCTGCACTCTGGGCGCAGGGCCCAAACCTGTCTTCAAAGGGAGAGTCCCCCAGAAAGGTGGCCCCAGTGACAGCACCCAGTGACAGATGGGCAGTGAGAACAAAAGGGTCTTTACCTGGAAGACCGGTTACCCCCAAACAACTACAGAAAACCGAGAAGACTCCACTTCTCCCCTAAAACTACTCTGCATCCTCTCTAAAATTCCATCATTTACCATTCATTCCTTTGAGGTGAGAGGCAGCCCAGCAGAGTGGACAGTGAGCAAGCCTCAAAGCCTAGAGGACCTGGGTTCAAGTCTTAACTCCTGGGGCATTCTAGACATGGAGATAAGTAATGAAAATGCCCAGAGCTGGGAGATGGAGGGTCTTAAAGGAGGCCAGGATCACTGGATTGTAGACCACACTGAAGGAAGGAGATCTAGGGCATAAAAAGCCTGGAAAGGTAGGGGAGGCGGAGGGTTATGAATGGCTTTGAATACCCAATCAGGGATGGGGGCCCCTGGAGTTTATTGGGTAGAAAAGTGAGTATGATCATTTGACACCTGAGTGGAGAAAGGACTGGAATGAGGAGAGACTTGTGGCAGGCAGAGCTATTCAGAGTGCAGGCAGTAAGTGACTTGCCCAGGGTCTCACAGACAGGAAAGTGTTTGAAGCAGGATTTGCTCTCGCTGACTCTTTCAGACTCCAAGACTAATGCTCTACCCATTATGCCACCTAAGCTCGAGAGGTAAAGACCTTCCTCAAGGTCCCAGGACTAGAGAGTGGCAGAGCTTGGGTCCTCTGGCTCTCAGTCTAGGTCTCTCCCCTTCATCTCCTGGCTAGTAGGCCCACCCCTCAATCCAGATGCCCACTGCTTTTACCCAATTCTTTGCTGCTCCAGAATGTCCAGTTTCTCAGCCCTCTGGATCACCTCCAGGATGGCCTCCACCTCGGCAGCATTGAGGCTCTGGCTCTTCCTCTGTTTGTCTGTCTGGTATGTATGCACTGACCACCCACTCTGCAGTCTGGAGAAGACAAAGCAGAAAAGGCAATAGTGACCGCCATCTTGAATCCGCCTTTCTATGGCTCCCTATGTGGCTGTTCTCCGGCTTCAGAATAAACAAGGATTAGATTGAGATGTTTGTGGAGGGAAAAGAAGACCAGGAATTGAGAGGTCCTACAGGGGTAACTAACCCACAAAACATGAGGGAACCTTAGAGATCATTGAAGAGAGATGGTGTAATACAGACCCAAAGACCTGGGTGTGAATCCTGCCTCAGACACTAGCTGTCACATAACCTCTATGGGTCACCTTGTCATCCTGTGTAAAATGAGGGACTTGGCCTCAAGGACCTCCAAAATCCCTCCTTGTGCTAAATCTGTGACAATCCTGTAATCTACTCCAAACTCATCATCTTACAGAGGAGGAAACTGAGGCCTGGGGAGATGAAACGATTTGTCCAAGGTCACACAGATACTAAAGGGTCAGAGACAGGATTCAAACTCAGGTTCTTTTACTTCAAATCCTTCCAATACCCCTAAGAAATCAGAGAATCAAGGAATCTCAGCTAGAAGGGGCCTCAGAGGTCATCTACAACTGAGGTCATTGCACCTGAATAAGAATCCTTTCTATATTACCCCCAACAGGCAGCCATCCATCTACTTGAAGACCTTCAGTGATGGGGATCTCACTACCTCCCACAGCAACTTATTACACTTTTAAAAGCTCAAATGAATGGTTAGGAAGTTTTTTCCTGACATCAATTCTATACTTGCCTCTTTCACACCCTTGATCCTAATTGTTCTCTCTAAAGCCATGCACACCAAATCGAATTCCTCTTGCAATGACACCCCTTCAGATACTTAAAGAGAACTCTAGGCCCTTCACCATCCTCATTGCTCTCTAGCTAATCAATGTCCTTCCTAAAATGCAGTCCCCAGAACCCTACTTCTAGCTAAAAACGTGATTGAGTCATCTAGTCCATGCCTTTGTTTTACTGATGAGAAACCCAAGCCCAGAAAGTTGAAGTGAATTACCAGGGTTCACCAAGGCAAGGGTCACAGCTGAAACTACTGGCTCTTTTCCAATAAAACACCGAGCAGATTCAAGCACCAGCAACACCAACAGCCTGCTATGTGACCGAAGGCAAGTTCACATCTACCTTCCAATGTCAACAAAAGGGAGACCTTACAATACCAATTGGTTAAGAACCCAGACACCTCAAGGGGAAGCCTTGAGAGGGTCAGAAGAAGAAGAGGGTCAGAAGCAGAAACAGGAGAAGAGGAGGAGAGGCGAGTGGGAGCTCACGCTTAGGAAAAAAGGAAGAAGACACTTGGTGGTTTTCTTTCCATTTGTCTGGAAGGTGAGTGAGAGGATGATAAATATGTATGATATGTAAACACCTTTTTCTAAGAGAAAAGTCAGTGAGGATAAGGTGAGCTCCCAATGTAGTGGGCACTTTGAAAATCTAAAGCAGAGCCAGAGGCACAGGAGAAGTAGGGAGGAAGTGGGGATGGCAGATTTTAGGATGGCCTAACAGAGGACTGAAAGCAGGTGGTAGGTTTTTCTCAATGCTAGTGTAGAAATGATCTGGGCAACCCTGGCCTGGGAGAGGCATCATTTCAATTCAATTCAACTAGCATTTAATAAGCTTTTCCTCTGTCCCAGGCATTGTGCCAGCACTGAATACAAGGACAAAAAAAGAAACAGTCCCTATGAGGAGCTAGCATTCCTAACATTCTACTTGCTTATCCTGTGCCAGGTAGTATGCTAGGCAGTGGGGATACAAGGCAAAAGCAAAATAGTGTTTGCCCTCAAGGAGCTTATATTCTACCAGGGTTGGGGTGGTTATGGTAGGACACAATGTGTACACATAAAAATACAATATAGATACAAAATAAACACAAAATGATTTTGCCTACAGGAGCGCCAATAACTAGAGAGGCAGAGAGAAGGCGGGAAGGAATCAGGAAAAACCTTATGTGGGAAGGGGCTCTTGAGACCTGAAGGAGGCTAAGGGGTTCAAGAGGGCGGGATGAGGAAGGAGAGCAGGTATATACCCCAGGTATAGGGTAGCGTCTGTGCAAAGGCACGGAGATGAGAAATCAAATGTTGTGTACGTGGACCAGTAACTCGGCTACTTTTCCTGGAACAGAGAGGGTATGAAGGAGAATAATGTGTAATCAGTCTGGAAACATAGGAAAGAACCTGATTTTGAAGGATTTTATAAATAGCAAACAAAGGGATTTTGTTTTAACCCAGAAGTAATAGTGAGCCATCGGAGCTCCTTAAGCTAGGAGTAACACAGACAGAACTGTGCCCCTGGATGGCTGCTGTAGTAGCTGTGGGGATGATGGGTTTGGAGAAGCAGACAGGCTGGAAGCAGGGAGACCAGGAAAGCAGCACAGGTGAGAGGTGACAGAGCCAGACCTGGCATGCTGGCTCTGCGTCCACGAAGCAAATCGGCTGCTGGATCTGGCTTCTTCTTCCACGTCTCTTCCAATTGTCTCCTCCTCTCTCCTCCCTAGTTCAGGCCCTCACCACCTCTTCCCTAGACTATTGCAAAAGCCTCCCTCCTTATTGATCTCCCTGCCTCAGGTCTCTCTCTTCTCCAACCCAAACTGCACCCAGCGACCTGACAGATTTTCCTAAAGCACAGGCCTCCACTACGCAGTCAATGCCGCTGGCTCACTGGTGCATTAGGCGAAACTCCTCTGTTTGGCATTTAAAGCCCATCACAACCTGGCCCTGACCTATATTTCTAGCCTCATTACACATTATTTCCCTTTCATGCACTCTATCGTGCAAACTGGCTCATTTGCTGCTACAAAAAAAACCAGTCTATCTGCCATCTCTGAGCTGTCCCCCTGCCTAGAACAGCTTCCCTCTTCATCTCCACCTCCTAGAATTTCTACCTTCCCTTAAATCTCAAGTGCCACCTCCTAGGGGAATTCCTATCTGATCCCCCCAGCTGGTGGTGTCCTCCCTCATCACCTTGTATCATATATATATATGATATACACATACATATACATACACACATATATATATATACACACATATATACACATAAACAAACACACATATATACATGCACATATATACACATATATACATGCACACATATATACATGCATATATACATACACACATATACATATACACACATACATACACATATACACACCCACACACACACACACACTCCAATTCTTCCAACAGAATGTAAGTTCCTTGAGGGCAGGGACTGTTTCACATCAGTCTTTGGTTAAATGCTTATTGATTGAATTGTATCCCCAGTGCCTGGCATACAGCAGGCACCTAATAAATACTTGCATATCAATTGATTTCTTTATCCTGACTCTAATTAGGAGACAAAACACGTACTCACGAATGATCAGGACATGAGAGCATATTGTCCTTTAGGGTTTGTGAAGGCTTTACACAGGCTAACTCATGTGATCCTCAAAACAACCCTGTGGGATAGGTACTTCCTATTATTATCCCCATTTCACAGATGAGGGAAAGTGAGGCTAAGAGGGAATAAGTGTCTCAGTAAGTGTCTGAGGCAGGATTCTAGCTCAGATCTTCATGGCTCCAAGCCCAGAAGTCTGACCACTGCTCCACCTAGATGCCTAAAGCACACACGTGACAAGTCAGAGGCTCTGGTTCAGATTCTGGCCTCTGCCACTTACTAGCTATTATAGGTTATTGCTGTTTGTCCTCTGTTTTCAAAGAGAACCAATGACATCACAGGTGATGTCTTGACTTGCATGTGAATTGGATTTAAGGGAGGAACAGTTGTGCCAAGTTGTCAGCCCAAATCCCTCTTCCAGGCATTGAAGTCCAGGGGCAAGACAAAAGCCAAGATGGCTGGAGATAGTCCAGTTAATGACCTGGCTGTCTGGGATGCCTGACCGAGCTCCAAGCACGCCACAGAGCCTGCTTCAGCTGCCTTCAGGATATCAGAACACATTGTTCTCATTCATTCATTCCACCAAGGGAAGTCTTCACATGTTTGGAGTTGGCGTCTCCCTGACTCACCAACAGGTGTGAAGCCCTTCGGTTACCCTCAGTCCCGGTTTAGCTCCTCTGCCGAAACAGCTTTAGCGGGGTGTGGCTGCTGCTGCAGCTCAGCTTCTCGGAGCCACAGGCGAGAACCAGGTGGCAGGTGGACACCAAAGGTAGATCAGCAGCCCTCACAGCAAAGGCCCTGGGCCTCCCCAGTGCCCCATACACCCACCTATTACAGGTATGTGTGAAGGGTGTGCCAAGCTGGGATGTGCTCAAGAACAGGTTGTTGCATTTTCAGTGTGAGCCTTTACACCTCCAAAACTGGTGAACAAGACAAATCAGGGCTTAATTTATTCTTTTGTTGATCATCTTTACTTAAGAAAGTAAAGGATAAAATGTTAATAATACAAATTAAATTTAAAACTGTTTCTTCTGAATATTTTGTTAAATATTTACCTTTATACCAAATGCCCCCCCACAAAAATGGTTTCACATTTTAACTACAAGATATATTCTTTTAGTTTTAAAGTATGGACTGCTGTAGTATGCTTAAGTTCAAGTATTCATTTCTTTAGTTTAATGAAGAACATCTTTTCTGATTGAATATTTTGACAAATGCAATTCTTTAGGTCAGGGTGGGGCTCGAGGCCAGATGTGGCCCTCTATGTCCTCCAGTATAGCCCTTTGACTCGAGGGCTGCCCTTAAGGACCTAGAGGGCCTCATGTGGCCTCGAGGCAGCAGGTTCCCCACCCCCGCCCTAGGTACACACCCGGATGAAATGTACTGCATGTGCCCATGCTCTCTGTGTGGCCACAGGCAAACAGCGTGACCTCTCCGGGCCTCACTTACCTCCAGTTTCTCTGGAAACAGATGACGTTGGACTAGACCACCTCTACAGCATTTCCGTCTCTAAGTCTATGAGCCAGTAAAATGGGTGCCAGTAAAATAAGAGCTGGGTTGTTTCTCCTTTGTCTTGGTATCCCCAGGGCTGAGCACCATGGCTTGCACTGGACAGGTGCTTAATAAATGCTGATTAAGGGGCAGCTAGGTGGCGCAGTAGACAGAGCACCAGCCATGGAGTCAGGAGGACCTGAGTTCAAATCCAGCCTCAGACACTTGACACTTAGCTGTGTGACCCTGGGCGAATAATAAAATAAATCAAAACAATCCTCTATGTTTAGCTCCAACCTTCGAGGGCTGGGACTGTTGGCCCCATGGCCTGGCACATAGTAGGCACTTAACAAAATGCTTGTTGAATTAAAATGAATTTAGCCAATCAACCTGACCTTGTAGAATATAAGCACCATGAGGGCAGGGGCTGTCTCATTTTTGTCTGTATACCCCCAGCCCCTAGCACAGTGCCTGGCTGAGAGGGAGGGTTCCATAAAAGTTTGTTAAGTTGAACAGAATTGAGGGATCCCCGAATCTATATCCCTGTGGACAAGGTAAATTGAGGCCGTAAGTGCTGCACTGGAGGTTAAGGGTGAACAGGGCTGTGGAGGCTGGCTGGAGGAGGTATGTTGTGAAGGGAGGAGGGCACAGACGTGCCAGGCGCTAATGGCCTGAGACCACTTTCTATCCCTGCCAGGCAGCCGGCCACAGGAGAGAAAGATGAAAAGACATTTGCAGCTCTAAAAGGTGTGAGCGGCTTTTCTGCACCACTGCAGAGAGTGAGAATGATGGGGGGAAGAGGTGGGGAGAGAAGGAGCCACCCAAGCTTCTCTGAGAGCTCAGCTCAGGATTAGGAGAGGTGGCCAAGGTCGCTGCTCCCAGAGCAATGGGGCTGATCCTTCACCAGCAGAGGAGAGAGAGGTAGGGAAGGGGTGAGAGAGAAGCGGGAAGGAAAGGGGAGAATGAACAAGTGAAAGAGTGAATGAGTGAAAAAATCCATTTATTAAACACTTACTAGGTACAGAATACAAAGCTAAATGCTCCTCCCACACTGGAATAGGGAGACAAGCCACATAAGAGATATGTTTCAGCTGCAAGTCAGAAAGAATTGGTCCTTAGGGTGCAGTAAGGAAGAAGGGAGAGAGGAGGGGGTGGAGAAAGGGGAAGAAGAAAGGGGAAGGGGAAGAAAGGGAGGGGGAGAGAGAAGAGAGGAAAGAGGGAATGAAGGAGGAGGAGATAGACTAATACAAAAGAGAGGATAGAGGGGAGGAGGAAAGAGAAAATAGAGGAGAAAGAATGGAGTGGGGAGAGGAGAAAAAGAAGAGAGCAAAGACAAAGGGGGCAAGAAAGAGGAGAGAATGAGAGAGATGGGGGACAGAACAAAATAATGAGAGGAAAGAGCAGAGGAGGGGAGGGGAGAAGAGAGGAGAGGGGAGGGGGAGGGGAGGGAAGAGCCCGGAGGCTCACCCAGGACTCCATCCTTCCCTGTAGTCCAGCATGGGGGTGGGAGGTTGGGGGGGAGACCGAAAGGATTTAATGGAGGAGGCAATCCTAGGGGAGTGGTGTTAGGCAACTCTACCAAATGGGCTGCAGAGATGTGCAGAAATGCCGTCTCTCTTCTCTCTCCACTTCCTATGACTTCTGCTCCTGCCAAGGATGCTTCTGCTCCGCCCCCCCCCTCCAATCCTCTGTGCCTGGACCTAGCACAGGCAGAGTGTCTAATCAAGAATTCCCTGGTTTCTCTTGGTTTTCCAGCCCTGGGGCAGGCTTGACTGTTTTTATTTTGGTCTAGGTCCCCAGTGGGTAAGAGTGCTGAATTTGGAATCAGGAAGACCATGGTCCAAATACTGCCTTTGAAACTTACCAGCCAAGCAGACCTAGACAAGCCCTAAAGACTCAGTTTCCTCATATGTCAAAAGGGTAGAATAATATCTACCTCATGGAGTCATTGTGAGGCTCAAATAAAATAATATATGTGGTTTGTAAGCCTTAAAATTTAGTAAAAATTAGTTATTGTTATTATTAGAAAGTCTGCCATGACACAGAGCATTGACCTCTGAGTCAGAAATAATAAGAATAGCTAACATTTATACAGCACTTTAATACTTTCAGGGCAGCTAGATGGTACAGTAGAAAGAGTGCAAGGCCTATAATCACCTTCCTGAGCTCAAATCCAGCTTCTAGCTGTGCGACCTCAGGCAAGTCACTTCACCCACCCTGTCTGCCTCAGTTTCCTCATCTGTCAAATGAGCTGGAGAAGGAAATGGCAAATCACTCCAGCATCTTTGCCAAGAAAACCCCAAATGGGGTCATGAAGGGTCAGACATGACTGAATAACAATTCAAGATTAATACTTACAAAATAATTTAGCCATATTATTTTCCTTAATCTTCATAACAACCCTGTCACACAGGTGCCATTATCGCCACCATTTTTACAAAGAAGGAAATTAAGGCAGGGATTAGTGACTGGCCCAGAGTACCATAGCTAGTAAGTGTCTGAGGAAAGACTTCAGTTCAGTTCTTTATAACTCGAAGTTCATGACCCCTAACTGCCAAGACCTGAGTTCCAATCCTACCTCTAACACATGCTGGCCTGTGCACCCTGTGTACCCTGGGCAAGTCCCTTAACTTCTCAGGCACCTTCCTAAGATTATAAATCACAGAGCGGATACTGATTTGTATTTATAGGCAGAGCTTCCAACGCTAATAAAGTCATAGGTCTGGGCAGGGGTGTTCTAGTCAATGTTTAACAATCAGCTTTAAACGCAGAACACACTTTTGAGTTTAAACTGCATTGCTAACATTTTCTCTGTCACTTTCTTAAGCCTAGACAATCACAAAACAATAAATCAAGCCCTGACTTTGTAGCATTTGCTGATTTCTGAAATGTAAATGTTCACAATGGAAATTTAACAATCAACTCTCCCCAAAGAGCCATTTTGAGCTGGCTTGAGCACACTTCTGAGTATGGACCCAAAATTATTATGATCATTGCCATCTCACTGAGGAAGGAATCTGGGCAACAGAGATCCTGCCAAAGCAGTGTCAGGAGGAGAAAGGAAAAGCCAGGAAAGCCCCACGTGGCCCCTGGCAAAATTGAGGGCACTCACTTGGCTCGAAGGGCAAGCTGTCGATCATTGGGGCATACCCACTGGTCCTTCCCACTGCCAAAGATGGTGTCGGCCATGGTTTGAGGGGGCTGAGAAAGGAGCTGGCTGTCACATCTGAAAGAGAATGGGGCAGGGGGGAGCAAGAGACAAGGTCACTCAATAGATTGTGAATGAGCCAATAACCAGAAGTGAGGAATAGCATGCTGGAGGCATTGGACATCTGGACACTTCCAGTTCTGATAAGGCCACCTGTGTGTGTGATAAGCAGCTGCCCATGTGAAGGATACTGGAAACGCCCCATGTCCCCATATATCTCCCCTCACTGATACATGGAACTCTACCATTAGAGATTCATTCTTTTGTGTTAAGCAGTCCCTTCTTTACGATCCGCTTTTAAAAAGGAAATACTTAACTATAAATAAATAAAAATTAAAATATAAATAAATTATTAAAATTAAAAATATAAATATTTTAAATAGCTGACATTTACATAACACATTAGCATTTACAAAGCAGCATACATCATTATCTCATTTGCTCCATGAAATTAATTTATTCCTTACCCCATCCATCATTCATTTAACAACCATTTATTGAACAAGGATTCCATGAGGGGAGACAGAGAATACTAACGGTAGCTGACATTTATAGAAAGAACTTTATTGACATTCTCTCATTTGGGCTTTACAACAGCCCTGCGAGGTGGGTACTACAGGTCTTCTTATCCTCATCTTACAGTAAAATGAGCCTCAGACAGGTTAAGGGTCTTGCTTGTGGGCCCACAGCTAGAAAAGTTTAGAGCTGTGTGTTGATCGTATCAAGTCGCCATTAGCTTGGCTTGTCGGGAGTTCATCAGTTTCCCAAGGGAGAAGATGTACAGTTATCCCTTTCACATTGAGGGGTTAGGGTGCCCATGCAACCTGGAAAATTCACATAAAATTTGTTGGTCCTCTCTTTGCACCAGAGAAGTCTGAATTATTATGGTAATAAAAAATAAAATATGTTGATATTGTACAATACTATACACATATTTTATGCATTTCTGAGTTTTCTAAATTTTTTCTGTGTTGTCTGTCATTTCCACAAAACTCCCAAAAAACTCCCATTTAATTTCTTGTGCTGACACGCGATATATTAAAACCTCGATGGGGAAAGTTGCGATGTAAAAGGGATGACTGTAGTATGTATATGGAGAAGAGGTTATTAGAATGCAAAAGGGAAGTTGGAAGGTCTACCAAAGGGTGACAGAGGATCAGAGATTCTGAGCCAAAAGGATTCATCTAATCCAACCTTCTTATTTGTTCACTGACTTGCCCAAGGTCACATAGGTAATAAGTGGACAGTGCCTCCAAAGTCTGCATCATGCTGTTTCCCTCCATTCCAAGGGGGATACTGAAATTTTACCTTCCAACGGCCCTGAGCACAGGGGTAGAGGTCTGACTCATGCCAGGAAACATATGAGCTAAGCACTACAGTAAGGAACACTGGCAGCTGCTAAAAACTGGGAGATGAGAGAAAATAGACACTGTGACTTAAAGGCAAGGGAAGGGAATGAGCATTTATTAAGCACCTACTATGTGGCAGGCACTGTGCTAAGAGCTTTACAAATATTATCTTAATCTAGGCTAGAAGGGATCTTAAAGGCCATCAAGTGCAACCCTCTCATTTTACAGATGAGGAAATTGAGGCACACAGGGGTTATTTACTTGAGCAAGGTCAGACAGCGATTGTCTGAAGTGAGATTTGGAAGGAATGAGAGTAGTCTGTCTTTAGTTTTCTTTTACTTGATTAATCAAAAGGAGGCATCTTGGGCTCTTGCTCCTCAGGGAGACAGAATCACTTACTGGGTCCCCATACTTTAGGACTGGAAGGGAACTGGCTGAAATGACCAGGCTGCCATTTTGGCTTGAGTATCAAATACAGCCTGGCTCTTGTTCTTTCTCTATCAATTCAGACATTTCTCCACTACCTGCTCTGAGAACTGCTATCCTTCCTGCCCAGATTGACACTCCCGACTTATCCAAAACCCTAGAAAGATGAAAGCTGGCTCCTGAACCTTGCCCACTCTTGGACCCAGGGCTAGAAATGGGCTACAACTCCCTCCTTTCCTCACGGCAACTCAATCAAGCAATAACATTAACTACCTGGCTACAACTGCTAGGCACTGGAAGCTGGGGACACAGAGGCAAAAATGATATGGTCCCTATCCTCAAGGAGCTAACATTCTAAGAATGAATGAATGAAAAAGTAATTATGAAATGCCTAGTATGAGCCAGGCACTGTGCTAGCTGCCAGGGACACAAGCACAAAGGGTGAGGGGCAGCCAGATGGTACAGTGGATAAAACACCGGCCCTGGAGTCAGGACAACCTGAGTTAAATCCAGTCTCAGACACTTGACACTTACTAACTGTATGACCCTGGGTAAGTCACTTAACTCTGATTGATTCACCAAAATAAAAAATCACCATCAAAGGGTTACAAGGTGTTTACACTCTAATATTGAGACCATGAATAGTACAGCTCACTTTGCGAATGAGAAAACAGGTTCTAGGAACGATTGGGACTGACCCAATATAAAAAAAAAGTGGCTACTGAGTTACTGAGGCACTTTTCATTACGGCAAAGAACTGGAAACAAAATAGATGCCCATCGATTGGGAAACACCATGCTGTGGTGCATGAATATGAGGGTCTATGACTGTGCTGTCAGAAATGATGAGCATGAAGAACACAGACAAGCACAGTACAAGACTTGTATGACCTGATGCAGCGTGAAGGAAGAACAAGGACAGCACACACAGTGGCTGAAAGTGAACAGCAAAAGCAGTCAAAAGGGGAAGCTTTGGAATCGCCTTATTATTGAAATTACAGCGGCCGAGCTTGACTCCAAAGCAGAGACGTGAAGAGATGCCCTGCTTCCATCGTGGCAGAGGCAGGAAACCAAGGGGGTAGAGCATAACAGATAGTGCGAGAAAAATTTTTATGTATTGGTTAGCTTTACTGAACTGCTTTCTTTGTCTTTTTCTTTTTTTTATTCAGTGTTGTAAAGGTCGGCTCTCTGGGAAGGGAAGGGTGGAGAGACACATTGGGAAATGTAAGTGGTATGAGAACAAAAGAAATCCATAAAAAGTTACCAAATTAAAAAACTTTTAAAAGAGATACATGGTATCCAGAATGAGAGCTATGGTAATCCTGGCACACTCTGCCCTGATCAGAGGGCATCTAGAATACTCTGAAGACTTCTGGACACCATACGTCATAAAGGAGATTATCCCCAAGTAAGGGTGACAGGATGATAAAGGATCTCAAAACCATACCATAATTGAATCAGCTGAAGAGACTGGAGACATTTAACTCGGAGAAGAAAAGGCTTATGGGGGAAACACATTTATTTTCTTCTTTTTAAATATATCTACATATATCTATATCTATATATAGATATAAATATATAGATATAGATATTTTATTGGTATCTTTTGCTTTTTTATCACATGCATTTTCCCCTATGTATCTCCCACTCTCCTTCCAGAAAGTCATTCCTTATGACAATTTTTTAAAAAGAGGAAAAAGAGAAAAAATTCAGCAAAACAAAATCAACATATTGAAAAAAAAATCTGATGTTGCAGCCAATGTTCTACATCTTCAGTTCTGGAAAGAGGCAAGGGAAGGGACACCAATCTTCCAACATTTGAAGGCCATGTAGTAGCCACATAGTAACAGCATTGGAATTATCCTGTTGGGGTCCATAGGGCGGAGCCAGGAAAAATGGGACAAATCGTAGACAGCGATTACAGCTCAATGACAGAAAAGCTTCCAAATAATTAGAGCTGTCCCCAAGTGGAAAGCTGCCTTGGGATGACATGGGTTCTGCATTATTGTAGGTGTTTAAGCAGAGGAAAGAAATAAAGGAAGGAAGGGAGAGAAAGAGAGAAAGTGAGGGAGGGAAGGAGGGAGAAAGGGAGGGAGAGAGGGAAGGAAGGAGGGAAGGAGGGAAGGAGGAAAGGAAGGAAGGAAGGAAGGAAGAAAAAAAAACTTGAGGTTGGCTGTTTGTGGGGAAGGGAAATGATGTTTAGGAAAAGAGACTAGCTGTGTGTGTGTGCGTGTGTGTGTGTGTGTGTGTGTGTGTACATGTATGTCTCCAGTTGGGGGGAATCATGTCTTACCCTTATATTCATAGAACTCAGTTAAAACAACCTACATTTGTTACAGTCAAGCCAGGTAGTGTGATCTTTGGTGGAAGGAAGCATGGCTAGAGGGCAAAGCAACGGACTGGAGTCAAGGCACTTAGGTTGCTATCCTGGCCCTGCCACTCCCCACCCATGAGACCTTGAGCAAGTCATTTAACCCTTATGGCTCAGTTTCCGCATCTGTAAAATGGGGAGGCCTAAATGATGTCTAACGTCCCTTTCAGCTCTATATCTACGATCCCTCTGAGACCAGTGGCACACACTTTCAAGATGATCAGCAGCGACTGTGGGTCAGAGAAGCTAATTGGTTCCTCAGGAATGAAACCCATCATGCCCCTGATCTCTGGAGCTTCAGCCACAATTCAATTCAATTCAAGGACCATTTACTAAGGGATGGTTCCATTCCTTGCTTTTGTTTAACAGACACATTTCCTGCCACACAGTGGGGACCCAATAAATGTTTGTGGACTGATTTATTAATCAATTAATGCATCACAATGTGCCTGGCACTATACTAAGGGCCTGGGGATAGGTCAGCACGTCAGCACATGTTGGCAGGGGAGCCCAGGGAAGATACTCAAGTAAGCATGATTCCAGGCAAGATGGGGGTTCAGATACATGTCAAGAGAACGCTGGAGAGGGGGAGATCATGTGTGTGCATATGTACATACTCACTCCCTGTCTAGCCCTGATCTGACACCTACCTGCTCTGCTAGCTCAGATCTGATGTTTACCACCTAGGACCCAGTGGGAAGAGGTTGAGCGGGGTGGGGGTGGGAGGTACAGGGAAAGAGAAGGACACTTGGGTAATCTATTCCTAGAAAAACTGATGATAAAGCAAACTGTCATGGAACCAGATTGAATGTTTCTCCCCACAAGGGAGGCAGATGCTGTTAACCATACAAGCAGCAGAGGGCGTGGTCTGAG